GGCTTTTATGATGTTTAACTATGTTCCTTCTATCCCGACTTTCTAGAGGGTCTTTATTAAGAAAGGATGCTGTATTTTGTCAAGTGCTTTTTCTGCAATAATTGACAGGATCATGTGGTTCTTTTCTTTTATTAATGTGACGTATCACATTTATTGATATTGAATATTCAATATTGAATATTGAATATTGAATAGCGAATATTGAACCAGCCCTGCATCCCAGGAATGAATCCCACTTGATCATGGTGAATAATTCTTTTTATATACTGTTGAATTCTATTTGCTGGTATCTTATTGAGAATTTTTGCATCCATATTCATCAGGGATATTGGCCTGTAGTTCTCTTTTTTTGCTGGTTTGGGAATCAAAGTAATGCTTGCTTCATAGAATGAGTTCTGTTCCCTGCTTTGATCTTAGACTTCCAAACAGGAAAAGATGAGATCTTCAGTGGAATTTCATAGACCTCCAATGTAGGCATTGGTGAAGTGGCCCTTAAACATATTTTGAGTTTTTCAGAAAGTGATTTTGGTTAACAATCAAATTGTGAAAGAAACAGTAGGATATTGTACATATTTGGTTAAAATGCAATAGATGCAGTGAAAAGATCACATTAGGTGACAAGGTGATATCAGAAGTCGCACAACAAAGGATTCTGATGTTAGAGGCCTTTCCATCAATTCAGGGGAAAAAAACAGATGCAGGAAAACATTAGTGAATAAAACAGCATATTGTTATGGTAGGTATTGAAGAAATTGTGTAAATTTATATACTGCAAGTATAATATATTTAATTAGTTCTGACTTAAAATGGATACAAGTGAGGACTAAATTGTCAGATATCTTAAAGGGCTTTCAATTAAATACTATTCAGTAGATATTCCTGAAACCATTATTATACTGTATGTTAACTCACTTGGATTTAAATAAATTTTTTTTTTAATTTTATTCAGCAGAGGAGGCATCACAGTTCTGGACTTCAAGTGATATTATAAACTGTAATCATCAAAACAGCATGAGACTAGCACAAAAATAGACACATAGATCAATAGAACATAATAGAAAACCCAGAAATGTATCCATAACTATATAGTCAGTTAATCTTCAAAAAATCAAGAAAGAATATCCAATGGGAAAAAGAATGTCTCTTGAGCAAATGGTATTGGGAAAACTGGACAGCAACATGCAAAAGAATGAAACTGGACCACTTTCTTACACTATACACAAAAATAAATTCAAAGTGGATTAAAGACTAATTGTGAGAACTGAAACCATAAAAATCCTACAAGAGAGCAGAGACAGTAACTACTTTGATGTTGGCTGTAGCAACATTTTTCTAGATATGTCTCCTTAGGCAACAGAAATAAAAGCAAAAATAACTATTGGGGCTACATGAAAATAAAAAGCACACAGCTAAGGAAACTATCAACAAACTAAAAGGCAACCTATGGAATGGGAGAAGATATTTGCAAATGACATATCTGTTAAAGGGTTAGCATCTAAGGTATATAAAGAGCTAATAAAACTCAGCACCCCAAAAACTGAATAATCCAGTTAAAAAATTGGCATAAGACATGAACAGACATTTTTCCAAAGAAGACATCCAGATGACCAAAAGACACATGAAAATATAGTCAACATCATTCATTATCAGGGAAATGCAAATCAAAACTACAAGGAGATAGCACCTCACCCTTGTCAAAATAGCTAAAATTAACAACACAAGAAATCACAGATGTTGGTGAGAATGTGGAGAAAAGGGAACCCTCTTGCACTGTGGTGGGAATGCAAACTGCTGCAGCCACTCTGGAAAACAGTATGGAGGTTCTTCAAAAAGTTAAAAATGGAACTACCCTATGATCCAGCAATTGCACTCCTAGGTATATATCCCAGAATACAAAAATTCTAATTCAGAGGGATACATGCATCCTGATGTTTATAGCAGCATTATCTACAATAGACAAATTATTGAAATAGCCTAAGTATCCATCAACTGATGAATGGATAAAGAAGATGTAGTGTACACATCTTGAGTTTCTATTCTATATAAAGGTATTTTGGGGATAAAATAAGTGTCCTCCTTCAAAAAATCTAACTTTATTGGTTAAATGATGAATCAGGGAAAAAAATCCATGCTGTGGTAAAATACATATTTTTTATAATTTATGAAATTAATAATCCAACAGAATTCTCTAGGCTTCTAAAGCTAGGAATCACTTATATTGCTTTTATGATATTCCAAAGATTTGTAACAAAATTGTAAACTTGTAAGAAGTTTTGGAACCAATTGTTTCAGAGCAATGAAATACATATCCTCTAAACTGGTATTTATCAAGTATACTCTCTCTGTGTTACAGTCTGAATTATATTTTCTCAAAAATTCATATTGAAGTCCTAATCCCCAGGACCTCAGAATGTGACTGTATTTGAGTTGGGGTCTTTAAACAGGTAATTAAGTTATAATGAGATTACTTGAGTGGGCCTTAATCCAATGACTGGCATCCTTGAAGAGGGAATTTGGAATCAAACATGAACAGGGTGAAAACAATATGAAGACACAGGGAAAAGATAGTTATCCAAATGCCAAAGAGAGAGACCTAGAATACTTCCCTCCCTTTTAGCCCCCAGAAGAAACCAACCTCACTGACACTTTGACCTAGGATATCTAGCTTCCAAAACTGTGATAAATATGTTTCTGAAAAACAAATAATAAAATAAATAAATAAACTTCTGTTGCTTAAGTCACCCAGTCTGTGGTAGTGGCTGTGGTAGCCCTAGCAAACTAACATACTCTTTGCTTAATTCTAGTATAATCATCGTTATGAATCTGAGAACATTTAGGCTATTGGGAATGCAAAGCAATATGTCTTGTTTTCCACTATAGTTTCTAAGAGTTCCACTAATCTGATCAATTAATAAAATACTCATTAAAAAAAAGACACCCGAAGAACAGAAAAAGGAAAAAGTAGTTATCTCATGGTGTAGAACTAGAGATGGAGGAATGATCTGTTGTTTTTATTATAAGCTCTTATGCACATATTATTTTTTAATAATGTTTATGTTACTTTGATTAAATTAGATGGATGAAGATAGGTAGGTGGGTAATTAGAAAAGGAAAATAAACAAAACAATGGGCAATGTGATCACATCTGAACAATTCAAATCAACAATGAAATTTTGTTTACTTCTCCACCTGTAAACTATTCTCAAGGGCATTTTGGCTCTTTGAAGTTCATAAACAGAATTCAGATCACCCAAGCAGAAATAATTTGCTGCTTTTAAGCCCTTACTAGCTACAGAGTTGCCTCTAGGAATTAGCCAGAACAAAATCCCGATTAAACAACTAATTGGCTTGTCTACTAATGAAAGGAAAAGCAAAGTGCATTTCTCTACCTCAAGACAGAGTCATAAAAACAGAAGCTTTCAGAACCATCTCAGAGAAGATGTTTAAATCTCTGATGATAAAATCCAACAAGGTGAAGCCTAAAGAGGAGAACAATGAGAGTAAACAAGGTCCTGATCCAAGCAATCAGCCTCAACAATCCACAAGACAGGTATGATACTTACATACCTAAATCAATCTTGATTGTCATCATTTTTTGTCTAGTGATGGATATTTGTCCAGTGTTTTAATATACTGTGATGTGTAAGGTTGCTTTGCTGTTTCACCTCTACCATTTGGGTCATGCACTTGTTTTTCTTTGGGGTTTTATATATACTATTTATATTTGCTTTAAAACAGATTGATAAATGTTTAGAAGACTACATTAGGAGTTGGAAAAAGCTAAATAAGACTTCTCATTGCAGATTTATATTTCTACCATAATCCCAAATGAAATCATTTCTCAAATATTAAATGGGCTATGTGAATTAGTTTCAACAAAGAATGTCGAAGATCGTGGCCATGGTAAACTACAATTTAACAGTAATTGCTCTGGACCAGGACCTCTTTATAGGAAACAGTTTTGCCACTCAGGACAACTGGCAATGTATGGAGTTATTTTTGGTTGTCATATCTCAGGGGTAGAGATGGTACTTGCATCTAGGGAGTAAAGACCAAAAATGCTGCTAGACATTGTAGAATCCACAGGACAGCCCTTCACAACATAGAATTATCCAATTCAGAATTTCAATACCACCTAAGTGGAGGAACCCTGTTCTAGAGAAATATTTTTCATAAGTTCTAGGTCTACACACCTGTAAAATGAAAATGCTTTGTAGCCTTATTGTATAAACTAGAGGCAGTGTATATAAAGCACATAGTAGGGACTTACCAAATGGCAATTTTTATTATCATTATTATGAGTAATTTATGCTTATATGACACAATAAAGTCCAAAGGGATAATTATATAATCAGTATTCACTTACAACTGTCCAAAGAACCATTTTCATAAATTACTGACTAAATTTATCTAAAAGTGCTATGTAAGGTTTTTAGAGCAATAATTATTTTCCCATCAAAAGAATTGGATGAAAGATGTCAAGTACAAGCAGGAGTGTACCTCAGGGACTCAAATAGCATGGTCCAGTGATTCAGGTTTAAATGAGCCTAGAGTACAGAAAATACCGAGATGACTTAGCATTGGCCCTGGAAAATTTGCCTTTCATTTCTGATTAACATTGACTATGTTTGCAATGGAGAACAGATATGAAGGAGGATGTGCTTAGCATTGCTTCATGAGAGTGCCCTTGACTTCTTTCTAATTCTTATGTTAAAATAAATAATTCCACACTTTTAAAATTATTTATATGTTTAAAAGCTCGTGGAATATCACAAATGTTGAGCTGGGTACTTTCCTTCAGGTAGTCTTGTTGTGTTTCTCCCTAGGAAAATCACTACAATGATATTTAACCTTTGTCTATCATGATTCTTTTTCCATAGAACACATAAAAATAACTAATATATTATTCTCTTGGAGAACATAATAGCTAACAATAATTACTATGTGCCAGGCAAGGTGCTATCCTCTTCCAAGAACTATTATATTAAATCTTCAGAATAACCATGAGTCCTGTTACAATTTGCTGCTTGCACACAACTGATAATGGCAAAGCTTGGATTGGAGCCCTGTTCCATCTGACTTCAGCACCTGAGAGCTAAATATCTAGGCTATGCTTCTGAAGAAGTATGAATGAATGATGAATATTAGTTGAATCAACTAATCAATAAGAAGTATGAATGATGAAGGATGAATATTAGTTTAATCAACTTTCTAAATATTCTACTCACAAGATAAAAGGATGTTAGAGAGAAGGCAAAAAGAACAGAAACTCTAAAGGAATTGCCTTTCCTTCAGAAACAGTAATACTGGAGAAGTACTTAGATTAGACACAGGTAGAACAACTCTGGTGTATATCCCATGACATTCCCATGACATAACACTTAGGGATGTTGATCATGAAGTCTGCTGACATCACATTATATCTTAAAAGTCATACTTAAGGAAATTATTTGCATCTACTCTTTAGAGATCATAACATGTTGGCAGAGGCAATAGTTCTTCTCCAGTTTCAAATACACTAAATGTTAAAAATGACAGAAAGTTAAAACCATGTTTTTATCCATAGAATATAACCTTTTAAAATGGCATTTAAATAGTAATGTTCTGAAGTACAAATAGATTATTTGAGGCCTATAAGAAGATATTTAGAAATAAAAAATCAATTTACATTCTTCTTTTAAATAAAGAGTTCTCAAAAAATAAAAATATTAAAAAAAATACTTAGTTCTCAAACCAAAATAACTTAGGTGACTTCCATTTGTCAATAACCAATAAATCAAGATCTGCAAATTCAGGCTAATCCAGACTTTCATGCTACAGAATAAGACATCATTCACATAAATCTACACATGTATACATGAAAAGACTATGATTAAAATGTTTATGAATAGCATCATAACATGTAAAAGTACTTGATTGAAATCAGAAGGCTTTACCACTACTTCATAATATATCCAGAGATCCATACATTTTTAGCCACCTTATCAATTTCCTACTCAATAACATAAGAATAATAATAGCTGTCTTGCCTAATACATATGGTTACTGTGACACTTAAATTAAAGCATCTGATTAATTTACTTCCTAGCTTAAAATGTTTCTGACATACAGTGCTGTTAAATAATGTCAAACTCCACATCAAGGCTAATGGGATTCTCAAGGCCCTTGTCCTTGCCTATTTAGCTAGGCTTACTTTCTCACACTCTTTCCCATCCAACCACTTCTACTTTAGTTTCTCACAGCCTGTATACAATCACACTTTAGACTTTTGCTGAACAGGTATCCACTACCTGGAATATTTTCCATGCCTTGTTCATCTGGAAAAAAAATTCATCTTGATTTGTAAAATTCAGAGTTACTTCCTTTTTGATAGTCTCCTCCCTTTCCTTCTACTGCAGTAGAATTGACCATCCCACATTTATGCCCTATATCTATCCTCTACAGACATTCATTACTTATAACATTTCCTTGCACTTACATTTGTGTGTGTATGTTTCCCCTACCACTCTGTAAATAGCTTGGGAGCCAACATTTCTGTGTTCTAACCTTATATCTTGTTTCACTTTGTTCCCATAGGACCATCCTCAGACACACACTGGCCACATCCAGTGAGACATACCTACATTTCAAAGGAAAGCTTAGATTCTCAGACAAATGACAAGGTAGAGGCAAATGAAATCACAAAGAGAAGAGAGCTCTGAATTAAGAAACTAGACTACTTTTTTCTATCACTTTAAGTTCTACTACAAAAGACCTAGACCAGGACCAACACTAGAACTGTGGGGAATGAGGACTGGAATTGGGAGGAACATGTGCCAGGTAGATGTAGCAACCACAGTGACAAAAAGAGAGTGCCTAAGGCCAACAAGCTGTGAAAGTCAAAGCTGATTATTCAATAGTAGAGCCGAGAATTTCCATTTAAGTGAAAGAATTATCATTTGTAGTACATCATAAACAAATGATAAGCTTTAATGATTGGCTTGCTCATTGAATGAAAAACTCCATATTATATTTTACATTTAACTTTATTTTTTTGTGTAAATTAATTGTGTACAATCTTTGTTTCTCAAAGGGACAAAACAAAAATGAAAAGAAATCTCTCCAAACCAAGATGACTCCAGTCACATTTGAAGAGTCACACACCAAAATACAAGGTCAGAACTCAAATCTGTAGGAAAAAATAAAATGCATATCTCTCTGAAATGTGTTACCTGATGAAACACTTGACCTTGACTAGGTAAATCATCTAGGGTAAATCACACTTGAGACACTTTAAAGATCTGAGTGTTTATAAAAACATAATTTCTTCATTCAGTCACTTATTCAATAGATGCTTTTTTATTACCTGCTATGTGCCAGGTCTATGGGCTAGAAATGTAGTGGTGAACAATATGGCCAAGTCTGTGTTAACATATGCATATAATGAACAATATAATTTTAAGTAAGGGTTATAAAATGATAAAATAGATGTGGATTGTACATATTTAAAGGTTCAACACTCATACCTCTGCTCTTCTTTCTTTAAATTCTCTCCATTAGAAATCTCATCTACTCCTAAGGTTACCATAACTCATTTCTATATCAGTGATTCCATAGCAGACCCAATTCCTTTTTTAAGACCCTGTCCAATATTTTCTTTTTTTGTCTCTTCTTTTCAGGTATATTCTGCCAGAAAGATTCTTTTTTTAATAATTTTTTTATTCTTTTAATTTGAATCCCAGCTAGTTAACATATAGTGTAATAATGATTTCAGGAATAGAATTTAGTGATTCATCACTTACATATAACACCCAGTGTTCATCCCAACAAGTGTCCTCCCTTTTGCAATATTTTCTAAGTAACCACTGGACATATACACCTGTATGTTCTGCTGCCATTCTGTTTTACTATGAGTCATTTTATAATAGTGATAGTTTCCAATTTGCAGTTCTTCTGACATAAAAATACAACCTTTTTTAAAGTATTTTTTCTCTTTTTTTTAAGTTTATTTATTTTGAGAGAGAGAGAGCAGGGCTCGAACTCACGAACCATGAGCTCATGACATGAACCAAAATCGGACACTTAACCAACTGAGCTACCCAGGCGCCCCATAAAAACCTTATGGTACGAAACCTTAATGGTACGAAACCAAGGATCACATCTTTGGGATGACAAGTTTTGTCCTACTCTTGTTATACTTTTTTCAAAGTATATTTGTAAGCTTAATTTTTCATAGCTGGTAATAAAAACTCTTGTGGAAGTTTCATTTAACATAGAAGCTGTTTGAGTGGAAAGGAAAAAAATAGTTTCATTTAAATTTGCAGACTTAGCATGTCTTCAAAGGCTTTAATAGGAAAAGCAGTTATATTTAAGATATTTTGTTTTGAAAAAGCAAAATTATTAGTGTTTAAAGATAGCCTCTTATATGTGCTTGGTATTTTTATATTCTTCCCTTCAAAACATGCAGGTGCAATGTCACAATATCTGCAGATGTTGATTTCTGATTATAGAACTCTTATCTTCTGCAGAGCATGGTTTAATTTTTATCTGCCATGGAAATGAAGAATGTAATACATTTTGGATTCAAATAAAGATAACTTTCTAAGGTTCTCTTTTGATTACAATCATCTTTCATAGGCTTCCACTTCACTTATAGTACATTAAATCCTTCTGTAAAAAATGTTTTGCTACCAGTAGAGGATATTTAAATGACTTCCCTAATAGTTTATCATGATATAAGGTGACTTTGTGTGGAAATGGATCAAAGTTAGGTGCCCATGGGTAGCTAGTATGGTATGGTGGGTTGAATAATGGCCTCTCAAAAACATCCACACCCTGCTCCCTAAAAACTATGAATTTTTACATGAAGGGGAACAAAATGCTGATGTTACTAAGTTAAGGATCTTGAGATGGGAAGATTATCCAGAAGGCTTCAATGTAATTAAGGGATTCTCATAAGAAGAAGGCAGAAGGGTCAAAGATAAAAGAAGATGGGATGATAGAAGCAGAGGTCACATTGATGCAATCTGAAAATGGAAGAAGGGACCACAAACCAAGGAACACAGGCAACCTCTACAGGCTAGGAAAGAATAAACCTGTGTTATTCTAGGCATTTAAGCTTGTTTCCTACAACAATAGAAAACTAATGTGTATGACTTTAAAATACTCCCTACTTAAGTAACAAAAAAAGAAACAAGAAATTGAGTTTTGCTCTAATCAGTAATATAAATTCAGTATATTGGCAGTATATTATACTATAAAGAGCACTGCTTTGGAGTTTGGCATGTCTCAATTCAAATTGTAACTCTACTACTTAATAACTTTGTCTGGCTTTAGTCAAGATAGTTGACATCTCTAAGTATCAGTTTGCTCATGTACAAAATAAGGATAATACTGTCATTAATCTTCTAAGTTGTAGATACAGATTAAACTAGTTAATATATATAAAGCATTTAGCATTGAGATTGATAAATTCCAATGTTGATGGGGGTCAGGTAGCATAAATGAGGATCATGCATGCCCTGTCTAAAGAGGCCAGAGGCCACTCAGCTCCAACCAGTCACTGTCATGTGGAGATGAGAGGCAAGTGCTGCCAGATAGTCCATCTTCAGTCTAGAGAGACTGTAAATACAAATTTTAATTTTAATTTTAATTCTCTCAGTTTTTAAATGTCAACTTTTTAAAATGTTTAAATATTCTCTTTTTAAATCATTGAAATAAAAACTGAAATCTTGGGGCTCCTGTGTGGCTCAGTTGGTTAGGTGTCGGACTTCAGTTCAGGTCATGATCTCATAGTTCCTGAGTGCTGGGCTCTGTGCTGGGCTCTGTGCTGACAACTCAGAGCCTGGAGCCTGCTTCAAATTCTGTGTCTCCCTCTCTCTCTGCCCCTCCCCTACTCAGGTCCTCTCTCTCTCTGTCAAAAATAAATAAAACATTTTTAAAAAACAAAATGTGATCATTTTGTGACTTCTAACCAACCACATGGTAGGTACTCTATGTTGCTCATGCCTATGAACAATGACAACCTGGACAAGATTCTGAATCCAGCAATGTTTTTATTTATCCTCTTCCTCTTCCCTTTCTCTTCCTTTGTGCCCTCCATCCCAGGTTTGTGTTGCAAACCAACTGCAAATGTCATGTCCTCCCTGGGCCTCCTGTGCCAAATAGCTATCTATAACCAAGACCTAGGTTCCAAGTCTAACACATTTCTAGGTCTTCAGAGGTGTCCCAGGCCTTGCCAGTCTCCCACCACTATCCAAACTGACCTAGCCTGCATCTCAGCCAACTCAGTTTGGACAGAAATAAGGAAGGCTAAAAACTACTCTAGAACTTAAAACTACTATAAGACATAAAGTATACTAATTTTCTAAATATTACAGGAAAAAGAAAGAGGGAAAACCCTAACTCATTTAAGCCGGAAACCACTCTTTAGTCTTTGGCAGGACTTATACAAATTTAATTTGTCTTGTATGGAATAGGAAAATAGCCAGACTATATACAGAAATTTAATGTCTAAATCAATAAAGGCTTCCCTATATAAGACCAATGAGTTTGATTATCATGCATGGGAGGTACTATGGTTAATTTTAGTAGTATAGTTCACTTTCTGTAACTGTCAACACTATTCATCAGACAAAGGATAAGGTAGGAATATAGAAACAATGACAACAAAATGAGAGAAACTTTTCAAAAACTATTAAAGCATGTTTTTCTGCTTCATCCAAAAGAAAAAGGGGAAAAAACACCTTATATAGTAAATAATTACAGCTATTGAACTTAAACATTCCTTCAAAATGATATCTGATATGAACAAAAGAAATGAGAAATGAGTGCTGATTTGGCAAGGCACAGAGACATAATCAGGACACCTTCAGTGGCAAGGGCTCAAGGCTAAGGAAACCTCTGGATAACTGGAACTGGAAAACCATTTAAGGGACAGAGCCAGCCCTGGGAGCTGATTGCTTTCTCTGCCTTTCACTCATAGTCAACAAAGCTTTGCATTTCTCTCTGCATATCTACTTTGGGCTGCTCTTACTCCCATCCTATCATTTCGCAGTCTAAATTCCAGAGAGAGCAGGCTGACTGATTTAGATAGCAATCATTGTTCCCACTGGGCAGAGTCCATGGGAACCACCCGGATCACCAGCCAGCTGTGATCTGGCCATATTCTTCAGGTCAGGTGCCCAGCTATGTGCACAACCAATAACCATTCCTGTGTATTATACAGAACAGAGCTGCCTTGCTGAAGATGGAGAGGTAACGAGAGCTGATCAGCTAGAAGGAAAAGTTAGGCATAGAAATTATACTTTGTTTTAAATATCAAATAGAAGGCCAAACTCTGATAAAATTCCTTAGTTTCCACCTGATTAATAAGCTAAAAACTTAAGAGACACTAACCAATGTGGATGGGATGAATTTTTTTTTATAAAATACCATATATTTTATAGTTTGCATGATTTAAATATATTTGTATAATTCAGTTAAATCAAACTATGTTTTTAGCTTTTTTCTCTGCTAAAGAATATAGCTAATTCTGCTTTCCTGATTCCTGAAACACTCTTAAGTAAATAAAAGCTTCAGCATGCCTCATATATATCAATGTTATGCATACCTGAAATAGTTAATATTTTTTTTTAAAGAAGATAATTTACCCTAGTCAAGCCGGTGGAACACTTTGTGTTTATACTGCATTTTTCTTGAATGGAGTCTTTATCTAATCCTCACAGAAATCCCCATGACAAAAGTATTTCTCATTTTATGGATGACGAAACTGTTATAGAAAAGTAACTTATCTAGAGTCACCCAGAGAATTAGTGATGTAAGGATTACAGCTCTGTGTTTCGTACCCGGCACCGGTAACTCACCACACTCCTTAAACCTGCACATAAAATGTATTTTCTAGATGAATTAATCCCAGTACAAAAGTCCCTGAAACAAAGCATGACATTGAGAGAGAACAGGATCTCTCATCCTGACACAGTACCAAAGCTACCTTAGATGGATCTGTATTCTTTTTTGTTTGTTGATTTGTTCATTTATTCACTTGTGATGATGTATCTTAAAGTTAAAAAAAAACTGCCTAAATATAAAAATCCTTTCAGGACTTTTTGGCACATTAAGGCTGACTAGAAGACTTCTAACCTCTGACCCAATGCAAGGACCCCATCTGGGTCCTTCATATGGGCTCCAGCTTCTGCCTGTATACCTCCAGCAACAGGGCTTTCATTGCCTCACAAAGCCATATGTTTCACTATTAGACAAGTTTAATTGTTAGAACGTTTGGGATTTTATTTGTTTTGGAAATCCCAATGATGGATATTTCTTCTGCCTTCTGGTATACACTAAATAAGTCTTTTCTATACAGCAGCCCTTCAAAGAATTTGAAATAACTGCTAGGTCACTAGTTAGTCTTTAGCTATTTTAGACCCAAAGTTTCTCCACAATTCTTCATATGAGATGGTTTCCAGAACTCTCAGTTACTCTGACTCCTTCGCCTCTGGATTTTTTATAGATTTCTTCAACACTTCTAAGGTAAAGTATTACATTTTTCAAATCTGTTACATTTTAGGACTCTCCTTCAGGTTCTATTCTATACTCATTGCAATAATGTTTATCAGCTTCCTCCATGTCATTTGACAATCCACAAAGATATAATAAAATTTCAAGTATGATCAACATGTTGTAATTAAAATTATTCTAAGAGCACTATATATTCTGGCAACTATAAAACACAAGCTGAGTCAAAAATACCATCTTAGATACCAGAAGATAATCATTAATTATACATTTCTTAAAACTGTGTTATTATTTTATTCCAAACGTTCATTCATTAAGATGAAATTGATAGTATCATTTATGCATCTAATCAAGGTACTCAGGCTTAGTTTTTGTTAATTCACCTTCCATCTAATTACTCAGATATTGTTGGTGTCCAATAAAAGGAAATTTGTTTTTGAGATAGAGCTCACAATGTATTTGGTGTTACAAGAGTTAGAAATTCAACCAAGTGATATCTCACCCACATCAAATATTCCAACCAATGAGAGCATTTTCAAGTCTTCCCCTTTTTACATCCATAAAAAAAAACCAATTGAATCAACACCTGTCTAATTCACAACCTTATTCCCAAATCAGTTTCTTTCTTTGGATTCCTCCTTTTCCAGCAATTATTTAGTGCCACTGATAAAATGTGTAAGGTTAATGGCTTTCTGCATCACTTATTTCCTCACTTGAAGACAGAAGCAGCTGTTTCACACCTGCACAGCTCTCCACAATGCTCTCCACAATGTGCTACTACAAGGGGACAAAGCAGTTTAGAAGTGTATTACAGAGGCCCAGTGTGAGATGCTGCCAGGCCGAAGACAAAATCAGCCAGGTGTGTGGAGGGCAAACTCTACTCATTCTTGCACATTCAATAAAAGCAACCATATCAGAACACTTTGACTCCAGATTTTACTATCTGCCATGGGCACACATTCCAGGGCAGAACTTGACCAAGTGTACTGATGAGATCTGGCAATTTCAGAGCACAGTTGGCAGAAAGACTTACACTATTCATTTGGGCAGCTACAAACGAGGGGATCCTGCTTTCCATGTGTGAAGCTGGGTAAAACTACAATGTGAGGTTGACAAAACTTCACCCAGATGCCAGAGCAAGATTTGCCGTGTATTTTAGATTTCTTCCATGATGAGGATGATGCGAACAATCTGACCATCTGTTCCCACAAACAAATAACATGCTGCATGGATAAAAAGACACCCACACTGAGTATAGTTGACAGGGATTCTTTTGTTTTAAGTCCTCATGAGTATGTTTAAAGTTGTTCTGCTTTGAATCCAAGAACGGGCAATAACTGGTTTCTCATCTTCATCGACAAACTGTGATTAAGGACTTATTTTGTAATTAAAATGCTTATCCACAAAGCAAATTAGGTTGTAATAAATTTCTGAATAACCTAGACTTGTATTAGAGGCAGCGTCATTTAAAAAAATTTTTTTTTCAAAAGTTTATTTATTTTTGGGACAGAGAGAGACAGAGCATGAACGGGGGAGGGGCAGAGAGAGAAAGGGAGACACAGAGTCGGAAACAGGCTCCAGGCTCTGAGCCCTCAGCCCAGAGCCTGACGCGGGGCTCGAACTCACGGACCGCGAGATCGTGACCTGGCTGAAGTCGGACGCTTAACCGACTGCGCCACCCAGGCGCCCCAGAGGCAGCAACATTTTAGAAGGGGTTGGTAATGTCTAGAGGAGACCTGGTAAGGTACAACGATCTACTTAGAGTTACTTTAATCCAAATGTTATTATGATAAACAAAAATTCCTTATCAGAAGAGGAGAAAAGAACTGTTGCAGAACAGTCAGTCATTAATTGGTGCTAGCAGAAAAGTAATAGTGTAAATGTAATGCATATGCTGTAACCTGAATGACTGATGGAAGTATGTGATGCAGCTTATATTCACATGCCTTTCTAAGAAATAGTCAATAAAAGCCCCTTAAGAAAGACTGTTTTACATATTCTACTTGTTATATATTCAGGAGGGGTTTTTATGATTATTTTACTCACATTTCATGCTCTATTTTCACTCCTAATTTGGGGGCAGGGATGTGGGCACTCCCAGAAAAATATATGGACACAATGGTTCATAACTCTTTTTTTGGCCCAGACTTCTTGGAAGAGCTCATGTTAATCTTAAATCCTCTCCATGCAAAATTTGCATAGGTAACACAGAGTCTCAAAAGTTCCAATCCATGAGTTCACTAGATCTCTGTGGCCAGAGGTTAAGAACTTTGCTCTCAAATATCTTACCATAATTAACCCAAGTGTTTGTGGATATAGGAAAAAGATTTTGCTGTCATTTTCCTAGGCAGAAATATGTAGCATAATGTTAGAGATCTGAAAAATGATTTATTTTTTGGTTGGATAAAGAGAAATGGGAAAATATGGCTTGACCCAAATACATAGGGAAAATAGATATTTCTCTCTTATTTCTACCAAAAGCCTCTTAGTACAAAATGACATATTGAAAGTGCAATTTTTTTTAACTCTGAAATCTGTTCAATACTGATAAGCTCACTAGTGTACCACATGTGCTTGTATAAAAAGGACCCTATCCTGCACTCTCAGTAAGATTCCATACACGTGGAAACATTTCATCTGGAATATAGTCTTTAGACAGAGACTCCAAGGACATGATTATAGTAACGATCCTTTGTATCCTAAGTAAAGTCAGGAATTCAGAGGGTTTTCATTTAAACATTATGCTGTGGTTTCCATCTTCTAGCCAAAATTACTAGAATTCCAAAATAAATGTAGGTAGGAGATACATAATGAAGAAATCTGTTTGGGGAAATCCAGGGGTTTAAGCTTTCTTAGTCATAAACCTTTCAAAACTCTAAGTACTGAGTCAATTTTATGATTGCCTTTATTCCGAAAACATGTTCCTGAAAAATTTCATATATTGGCAGGTTTTAGGCAGATCACAGGAATTTTCATATTAAAGGGCTTGTATGATAAGAGCTTTTGTGAAAGTAAATGATCGCCCCATGATTTATCATTTTTGTGAATTCAGATTTTCAATACTGGATTGGCTTAAGTTTTTTCAATTATAATTTATTACAAAAAATAAGAGTTATCATTTGGGCATTGATTCTAATTTTCTAAGCACAGTACATCCATTTAAAAATAAGTTAGAAACTGTGGACAATGAATAACCATTGAATTGTGTTCATTCTATTTCTTTGCTCCTTCTATATTTTCTTTTTACATTAAGCAATTTACTTAAATTTTCTCTATAATCCACATATTTATCAATGAATTGATTATTCTCTTGGTACACTACAATTTAAACTATATTGTAAATTGTTTTTATAAGCTTGAAGGAAAAATTTTAATTTTTGGACTGAAAATGAAGCTAGTACATATTAGTTTGCACTGCTTATTCAGAAAAAGATACCATAACTAAAGATGATCAAACCAAAAACAAAGATTTTATTTAATTAAAAAAAGTTAGAATGCAAAATTCTGAAATAATGTCAGTGACATCACTTCTGTCTATTTTATTTTTCTGAATTTTATGAGGCTTCAATTTCAGCCACAAATTATGAATAATACTTTAGCAGAACCGAAATACCTTTTGAATGGATTACTCCTTACTAATCTCAGCTTTGCTAGTTTCAAAAAGTAATATACTATGAACTTTTTGTTTCATAATACAACTTAAATATACTTTTCATCAGCCTGAACGTGTCTACAAGCTAACTTCTCCTGCATAAGATCCTACTTTGTTTAGCAGGAATCCTAGGGGAGGCATTCCTAAGACTGTTTTGGAGAAAAAAACATCCCTGTAACTTACACTGTCCAATATAATTTATCAACAGTGGCATATATTCTTCTGTCTATATGTTGTTTCCTTTCCATAGATAAAATCTCTGAGAAAAATTCACTCAAAGATCTGACCACAACCCCTGACCATCAAAATCCAACAGAATCAAAGGGAACGATGCCAGAGCAAAAGGAAATGGAAACTGGGAAAGAAGGTCTAGTCAGGTAAGAAGTCAATAAAATACATAATACCTGTTAGAGATATTGCTCAGCCTTCACTGAAAAATTCAAACACCTGTTACCCACTTTAGCTGAGCAAAGGCCAGGGCAACAATAGTCACATAACACAGGGGAACTGGTTAAAACTAAAAGATTGTTTCTGTCTAGTTCATTGTCCCTTACTAGCTAGTCCTGGCCACTAACCAGAGGATTCCTAGGCAACCATGTGGCTATAGGCCAAATCACACCAACAAAAACATTGCAGTCACATGACTGAGTCATTAATATCATCATGGAAACAGCCTACATATTTACTAGGCATGAATTTTAAAAAGAAGGAATTGAAGAGATTGTACAATTCTTCTTTGAGTTCCCAAAGAAATAACTATTTCATTTTGTAAATATTTTATTGTTTGATTTATTATTTCCGTTTATCAGCTAAAGAAAGTGTGGCATGATAACCAAGAATAATTACAGAAACAGGTAATCTTTATGCCAATGAAGGAATACAATTTTATAAATACTTCCTACAGAATTATTGGAAATATCCCAAAAGAGATGACAATTTCAATGTGAATCAGTGAATCCACAATAAAACACAACTAGGAGCCCCTTCATTTTGCCACTTCTTGGCATGCTATTAAGTGCCTGCTGATCCAATTTGAATTGCTTAATTATAGTTAATATAATTGCAATAGGCTTATGAAACAATAAAGCATACTCTTCTTATTTAACAGGCAAGAAGAGTTGTCATTTAAAAAGAAATTAGGAGTATCTATTCCTGCCCCCAGCTCCCCCTCCCTACCTCTGACCCAGCAGCTCTTCCACTGTGTTAAACCTTGTGCTGCCAATAAGAGTTACAGTGATAATCTAGGACCCAGTGTGTTGCAGACTGAACAGTAGGCATCAGAAAGAGAAAGTGCATTTTCAATAAATACAAATTTCGCTGTAGATGAGATTAAACACAAGTTCACTCTACCACGTGCACACACACACACACACACGTACACACACACACACACACTGTATGACAAAAATTAAACCTGGCATATTATTTAGGCAGAGAGATGTTTAAACTCTGGGTAAAGACTAAAATCTTATAATTGGGGTAATTATTTATATTATTTTTATAACGTTGGTGTTTACAGAATGATTTGCAGTCTTTTAGTGGGTCATTGTTATCTTCACTCTACAGATAAGCTGCCAAGGCACAAGGAGGTTAATTAGTTTGCCTATAGTAATAGGGTCAGCTCAGCCAAGATTAGACTGCACAGGACTCAAATTCCTGAGTGGAACTTGTTCCTCCCTCTCACCAGTACACTTACTTTAATCAACAGCTTAACCTCTGAACCAGTCTCCTTCTACTGTTTCTTTTAGTATATTTAGTTTTTTGTAATAACCAGTGGTGATAGGTAGGTTTTCAAAGGACTGAAGTAGAAGCCATAACTAATGTGTTTAGGGATATATTCCTTTTAACCCAAATCCATTGCCAGTATTGTACTTTTACTCTTCTGAGATATGAAAATGGAAAACTTTCAGTTACCCATAAATTGGGTCAATCAGCATATCTCAAAACCATAAAACTCCTTGACATGACCTCTAAGACCATGCCTGGTTCATCTCTTCCCCTACTTTCCTATCCCTCTACTCCAGCCACATTGTTCCTATTTCAGTCTCTTGTACTTGTGAATTGATTATTCTCTGGAATAATTTATTATTCCTTCTGCAATTTAGGCAGCAAAGTAGCTTGAAAATTATTGACAAACTGAGTAAATCCAAGTTAGCTTAAAACTCTTACTTTTTATTGTGAGATGTCCAGTCACACTTTTCCTCAGGATTGAGTGAAAACCACCCTCACTGAAGGAATAACTTTAAAGGTCACTAGAAGTTCTGGTGTCACTTTTGACTAATATTACAGGAATCCTAATGTTCCAGTACCATGTACAACTTAACCAAAACCTTCCTGTTTTAATTTCATAGGCATCAATGGTACCATATCTAGAATCCTAACTAGCAGAGCTTTTATACATCATTAGGAAATATCAATGATAAAATAACTTCAAATTGGAAGTGTTATTTTACAGTACTTTAAGTGATTAAAGATCATTTTGGTATTGCAGTTATTAAAAATCAACAACTTCAACCTTGAGCAATGCCAGGTTTTAAAGAGTTTTTTTTCCTAGAAAAACACTAAAGATTTGATTGATTGAAGGCAATACATGCTTGTGAGTGACTGATTCCCACCTCAATTTTTTGAATTTGCAAAAAGTTATATTATTAATAAATAAAGTTTAAAAGCATATTTTTTACTCTAAGTGTGTTTCATTACCTTCTGGTTTAGGTCCTGGATTGAATAGGGATTGTGTGTCTAGGCTGATCAATAATTATTAAGGAGAATGCATGTTATGGATTTCCCTGTCTCTGTGTGTGAAGTGCAGTTTGATATTATTGGTTACACTCTTAATTTCTGTCACACTCAGAAGATGCACAGAGCTGGATAACAAGAGAACTAACTAACTAACTAACTATAGATATAGTACCTATATACACTGCATAGTCTGTATATATATTATTTAACAGATATTAGGAATTGGATCACATGATTATGGAGGCTGAGTAGTCCCAATATCTTCAGTCAGCAAGCTAGAGGACCAGGAGAGACAATGGTGTAGTTCCAGTCTAAGTATGAAGGCTTATGAACCAGAACTACTGGTGTAGTCCCAGTCCAAAAGCTGGCAGACTTAAGACCCAGGAAGAACCAGTGTTTCAGTTTGAGTCTGAGGGCAAGAAGTTATGTCCCAGCCTGCAAACTGGAAGAAAGTTCTAACCAGAACCCAACTATTCTAGCAAGCTGTTCTTGGACTTCCAGTCTTTAGATCTGCAAGAAATAAGTTTCTGTTGTTTATACACCACCCAGTCCATAGTACTTTGTTACAGTAGCCTGAACTAAGAAAGACATCACCCAACCCAGCCCTGAACTCTTTAACATAGAGCCTTTGTAATGTTTCCGTATGACAAGGGTCTCAAATATTGTTTTGTAAGGATAAAACAGTATAGATATATGTTTAAGCTAAATTTGGATATTGTGTCTATTTACCTATGTATATAAACACAAAAAGGTGAGTAAAATTTATATTATTATTATAATGATGTAAATTCCTAAAATAAAAATCACTTCTGTGATTTTTTTCATCCAGCCTTCAATAAGATTCTAAATAAAGCCTAAAACTAATTTTATAGCCACAGTAATAATATTTATCACAAATACATGTCAGCCCAGAAGGAGATATTTTTCAAGATATCCAAGTATTACATGTCCACAGTTCTGACTGGAATCCATTTGTATTAAACCAGCTTTCTTTCTTTATTCTTTCTTTTTATATCCTTTCACAACATTTTCTAAATTGTCTAACCAGGGAAAAGAAATTCTTTGCAAATCTTCCCTGAAAAAAGCAACCAATTCATTATCTTGTCAGATGAATCATTTAGCTTCTGAAAGACATGGAGTTCACCCCTGGAAAGTCCCATTGATGCCATTTGTCCATTACCAAGGAAAACGGCCTGTTTCTGGCATTCCATCTCAGCACATTCTTATTTTTTAATATAAAAAACTATATTTTGATGGACACTAATGAATAGCAAGCAAAAGAAGATGTGTTTTGCCTGGATACATCAAATAGCTATGTCTGGAAAAGGAGACAGAGTTGAATGGTTGATAGGTTAAGTGGTTAAATGATGAACAAGCAAGTGAGTGAAACGTTCAGTGCCCGTGACTGGGGTGCACTGCAAGACTGACTTTTACAGTATAGTATATGACTTTCCATCACCATCACTACCCATAATGCCAAGAAGGAAGGTTATTTCTATGAATAGTCTTCTTTGTTCATAATAGCAATCAGTCTCTATTTGGGTGGTTTTAAAATAGGCAATCATTTCACAGCAGGAACAATGAGAACAGAATAGAATTCAGAATCTTATCAGCACTCATAAACACTGCCGTTTATTGTCTTGTAGCTAGAAAAAGCAAGAGTCACTGCAGTAAAGATGCTTAAAAATCCATATGTGATTTTATAGTTGAAATAGAAAAGGAATGTTAGCTATCAGGTTTTCCAAAATAAAATACAATTTATACTTGAATGATTTAAAAGCTTGTAAAAAAAATGAAAATCAGTTACATATTTACCAATTTTATGTAATGCATAAGAAAACTATGCACTATTACTTTTAGCCCCAAATTTAAATTTTCCTCTGTGGTAAGCGATATCTTTATAATCAGGCATTGCAAACACTTTAACAACAAATTGGCATCTGTTTTTAATAATGGCATCATTTTTAATAATGACTGCTAAGTGCTATTTCTAATAATATGGCAGACTAAAGGTTTATAGAAAATTATTTGAGGAGAATGTAATTAAAATACTAGATAAAATATGAAACCTACATTTGAATGCATGCCTGAGCTGATAGAAAATAAAATCTGTTGTTAGAAGCTGTCATGAATTGGTGTTTACTCTGAGAATTTATTCCAAACTTTGTGGCCTAGATTTGAGTTAAAATGTGTCATCAATGAGAAAAAACCTGGGGTTAAACTGCATATTAGGACAGGTTGGGGACTCCTCCATAAAACTAGGATTCTGAAGGGTAACTCACTGGAAAGTAAACTGTCTTCCAGAGAGAAATAGTCAAAATAATATTTGTCTCTGTCTGGCCTTCAGTGGAAAAAAAAGAAAGAAAGAAATTTGAAATGGGGGAAAGGGAAGAGAAGAGAAAAGAAGAGGAGAGGAGGGGAGGGAGGGATGAGGACACACAGGAAGGAAAGGAAGAGAAAGGAAGGGAAGGAAAGAAAAAGAATTCTTATCATAAGCATTATTCAAAGAGATCTGGAACCAGAATTCCTATGACATCTGTATCCTAGAAAAAAAGAATGAGGCTAAAATAAAATATTTAAAATGGTTAAGTTTAAAAACTCAGACATCTGCCCAAAACAACAAAATTTGGAAGGAAAC